AATTTCGATAAATTTATGAAATCATGATTTATGTTACATCATATTTATTAACGTACCAACTCAATATATGTTTATTTATATATATATAAAATGTGTGAATGTGTGTGCGTCTAATAAAAATGTTCGAGCTTCATTTTTCAAGTTCATTTTTATTTTGTTCTATTTTTATTTTCCTTTTAAATCCATTTCCCAATCTCATCAATACATCGGTCATGTTTGCTAAAAAAGACGAGACTCGAATGTTGAAGATATATATCGGTAAGATCATCGATCGTAAAAGCTTAATAGCTCTCCGTAGGCGAGTCGAAGCAGCTACGAAGCAAAGTCGTAAAAGCAACACATCGTTTCACGCAGCGATCTCGTTCTACTCACGTATATACCTGTCTAGTATGGAAAAGGTAACTTCGAAGACTTATTCGATCCATGAACCTTACGAAATATAGTTCTCATATATATATATATATATATAAAGAGAGAGAGAGAAAGAGAGAGAGAAAGAATGACACAACCATGATTTCAGATAACTCCATAAGTTTTTTTAACCATTCCTTGAACGATCGATAAAATAAATCAATTTTTGGTATTAAATAAAAAATTAATTCAAAGTAACAAAGTTGTTTATCAAATTTCTAAATAAATTACATAGATTTGTGCGAACAAAATGATATAATGGTAAACGTAATTTTGATACAACCCAATAATTTTAAAAAATTCTGCAAGTTATTCAAACACTTTTAACAAATTATTTAATAAACAAATTATTAATTTCAGAAACACTAATGTTTAACTTAAAATGTCTATATTCAAATACAAAAATAGAAAAAATTCTGTTTAACGAATAACACAATAATAAAATATATTTTTCCTTTATCTTATATTCCTGATACAAATATTATTTCAAAAAAGGGCTGTAAATAAAACATTCTTAAAACCTTCTTCGTACGATTGATAAAACAATAAATTGGTTGGTGGTGTTATTAACGTGAAAGAAATTAGCTTTGAGGAAAGTAATTATTTCCTAGACTGAAAACACACAATGGTACATACTCAAGTTGAATGCAATTACGTCTAGTAACGAATGACCATAATAGCCCAATTGTGTCACATCCTCGAGGAATGTGTGCAGGGTTGCGTAGATTGCGCGGTAAGCCAAGAATTACTCGCACGTCGTTGTAATTCATGAGGCGCCGACTCTTAATTACGCCATCGCGATATGGCAACGTGACAAATTATCGATTAACGCGATACATATAACGTGGGGTAGTTTTTGGGGAGGATGTGTGGTGGTGGGTGGGTGATTGGGTTGAACGAAGATAGTAGAATACGAAGGAGGAAACAAGAGGAAGAGGAGAAATATTAAGGGGAGAAGGGGGAAATAGGGAGAGTACTTTTGAGTGGGTGGTAGGTGAATATGGGGGAGGGGCTAGTTACCCCATCCGTGCAAATTCTGTTTTATCGCGGAATCGAATTGTGAATATTTGTCATCAGCACGACGTGTACCGCCCGTAAATCGTTCCAGTTTTTTACTCGTGCCATTTTCGTTAACCACCACAACGAATATGCAAATGACGAAAAGAACAAAATAAAACATCCACTAAATACGCACGCGCGCATATACATACATCTTTATACGTATAGAATATTTCTCTCTCCCCTCCCCAACCCCAGAAAAAAAGTCAACAATTTCATCCTATCAGAATTTCTCGAAAGCTCGGAGCTTTTAAATGAAATCACTCGAACGTCTTTGTCCCGATCACTTTGCGAGAGCTTTTTACTCGTTATTGAGAAATTTCATCATTCTACGAGCGTGACTATCAGTTCGGTGTGTCTGGCTCCCTCTTGAGAAAATAATTAATTGGCCCGGTTCGATTTAATATCCGGTGTTGGACGAATCCTTCCATTATCTATCTTTCATAGTCTACTATTTTATCTATTGATTTTTTTTTTCATTGTCATTTTGAATGGAAGTTGAATCGTTCGACGAATTTTAATAAAAGAACAAAAAAGAGTAATAATAAAACTAAGATGTAACAATTTGTTATAATTGACTCGTTAAATCTTTCGTATATGGGCTAAATAATATAAAAATTGACTTATTATTATAATCAATTTTACAACAAAAATGAAATTTTTAAATAGAAAAATATATATTTTTTATAATAAAAGAGTCCTATAAAGCTAGCAGATGTTAATAATTTGCTTAGGTGTATATATTCGTTGTATGTTTGTTATATATGTAATACATAAAATATATATATATGTATGTATATATATCTATGTATAATGTTTCTACCTTTCTCTTTTGCCGAGTTTGTCGATGAAACATCAACGAGCAGATATTCCCAGAAGATCAACGTCGAAGAGAAGCAAACCAATGGACGGATGGATGGATAGAGAGAAGAGAGTAGATAGAAGAGAAGTCCTGTAGGACGCTTATTTCTACGAAAAGATAAACTTCAACGGCTATTGGTCCGTGGATCCCTTAAGGTGTTAACTGTACGAGAGATACTTCGGTATCGGTAAAGTACTGTACCAACTGTCAACTAGCAACGATCGCATCTAAATTTTGTGAAGTGTGTTAAAAAAATATGATATAAGAAAAGACAATGAATATAAAAAAAAACCTACATAAGTTATTTGGAAAAAAATTGAAGAGAATAGAAAGAAAAAGTAAAAAGGAAAATAGAAAATAGAAAAAGAAACACAAAGATAATGTTAAATAGAGAGTGAGAGAGAGAGAAAAAGAATAAAAAGAAAATAATGAAGATAAAAATGATGAGAGATAGTAAAAGAGAGAGAGTTAACAAAACAAGAAAATGACGTGAAAGGGTGAAAGAAAATAAAAGAGCGAGAGAGAGAGAGAGAGAGAGAGAGATAAAGGAGAATAAAGAAAAGGGGAATGTGATAAGGAAAAAGAAAATAGCAAAAGAGAGAAAGAGAGAGAGAGAGAACTATCCCAAATAGCTCTTTGACGTTGATCTTTAAGTGATCAAGCTCCCCTACTACCCCTATTCTTTTATCACACAAAGTATACCTTTCTCTGGGAGAATTTTTTAAAGATCGATTAACGAACTTTAACGAGTCCTAACAGGCCATCATTGACGTCAAGACGTTGTCCTTTTTACTTTTCTATCTTGAAGAATGAAAAATCTTAGTCTCTTGCTATCTTACTCACACTTTTTCTTTCATCGAAAGTTTTCGTTCCGTTCTCATCGTCCGGAACAACTTATAAGAAACTCGATAGATGTCTAAGAAGGTTCATGAATCTGCAGCAGCATTAAGCTTCCGGGATATTTAAGTACCTTATCAAGAAGGAACTATATTTGCTTTAATGACACCTTCAAAGATTTCATTTCATAATCCACGAAAAAGCATTTTCTCCTTACCACCCTTCTCACGCAATTCACTACTCAATCATAATCATTATTATTATCATTTTCATCATCATCATCATCATCATCATTATCATCATCATCATCATCGTCGTCGTTATACTTTTACATTCATCAACCCTCCCTCTTCTTTTTTTTCTTCGACAAAATACTCTAAGTCATCGTGTTTACATTTTGGTATTATTTAATATCGAACAAGGGAATTTAAAGTTCCATAATCACGAGCTTTATTAGCCCTTTACACCCGAGGCTTTTTTCGCTCGGACTTATCAACAACTGGAGACGATTTTTCACATACTTTGTGGATTATTTACCGATATCTTAAAATGATTTTATACAATATTTAATGTGTTATATATTTTTATACTTTAACGAAGGAAATTTGTTAAATATTAAATTCTGTATTGCTTCTTTTATGAGGTATTTTATAAGGCAATCTCCAAGATGCATCTTTAGCTTGTCGGAGCAAGTATCAAAGTAATATGTGGAAAGACATTATAAGCCTTTAGCCTGGCTTCATTCGTTCCGAGCAAACCTTGCAATCCTTCTTAACTCCTGTTAGCATAACATGTAGCTTCTCATTCAATTAGATTCCATCAAGACTGCAGGTCGCTGACTTTGACCGTCATTGACTTGACGGTCAAAGTAGAATAAAATAACAATATGAAATAAGATGAAATAATGAATAGATAAGCTAGTTGTTTTGCACGCATATATTGTTAAAAACATTCATAAAGTTGTATTTCCAAAATAAAAGCTAAATAAATATCGTTATTTTTCGAATTATCGTGTTGAATCGTATGGCGATCGAGTATAAATTCTTGAGAATGCAAAAGGTAAATTTTTCTCTTATATTCTCTCAAAGGATGATCTATGTTGCGCGTGCACGCGCGCACATGAACGTTTATTCAAAAGAGTGCAGAGGGAAAGAGAAAGAGAGAGAGAGAAAGAACTTTTCCAAGCATTATCTTTAATTAGAATTAATTAAGAAATTATCTTTAAATGAAAAACGATTTGCATCGTGCATCCTTTTCCCAACCTTCACCTTAACGTCAAAAGTTTAAACTATAGGTCACGATACCGTGATCAGTACGTAATATCGAGAATTTAATTATTCGCGAATTAAAAGGTAAAACAAAAATAGAAATAAATTCAAGATACAATTAATAATTTTACTTTCTAATTAACTTAATTTTCATTACTTCTGATCAATAATAACGAAGTTTTAGAGATTCTTAAAAAGAAACATTTGTAACAGACAACAAACTAATGGATTACGAAAATACGGACGTTGATTAAAGCATGAACACTTTTTTGTTTCGTTTATAAACTGAAAGGTGAAGAAATATAAAAAATATAAAAAACTATGGTCAATGCATGATTGAATGTTAGACGTTGGTTGAGGTGCAGGTATATAATTCGTAATTGTTATATCGATAAAAACCACCATAAATCGGGGACATACTTTGGCGAAAGAAAATTCTTACGTAACACCAATCACGAATATTTTACTATAAAAGCGGAGTTGCATGATTGCGAGAATATTAGTTTCTAATATAAGATTGAAAGAGTGGAAGCTGATTTTAAATTATTCGATACATAACAACGATGGCTTCTAAGGTCTCAAAATGATTCCAATAATTAATCTACCCTAGTTGATAAGTATTATTTTCTTTATTAGAAATTGTTAATTAATTTTTTTTCTTTTTTAACTTTTTCAGCTATCGTTTCTTTTCTATACCTGTGGATTTATTTGCGTCATCTTGAAATCGTCTTCAGCTACGAAAGAATTAAGATGGGCAGATAATGAACCCGAACCGTCGTATAAATTTTCTTACGTAATTAAAGATGGCAGTACGAAGATTATTCGTAGCGAGGATAGTGATGAGGGTATAATTCATCTTTTAATAAAGATTAATTATTCTATCAACTTTTTTTCTATGATGTCATTATTTTTAAATCGAACTAATTTTTTTTTTCAGTGAACGACTCCATCGGCAAACATAGTTTATACGATCCGGTCGATTATGGTAAATCAGGTGACTATAAATCAGATGGAAATTATTTTCATATTGAATTTGATTCCGATAAAGATGGTTTTGGATCATATAAACAACCAACGCATTATTATGAACGTTATGAGTATGGTCACCATGATGATTACAGTCATAGTAGTGATAATGATGGCCATGGTAGTGGAGGAGGTGGAGGAGGGGGGCATGAAGGTTATAGTGGATCAGGAAGTGGTGGGCATGGGGGTTATGGTGGATCTGGTGGGGGTGGGCATGGGGGTTATAGTGGATCTGGTGGAGGGCATGCAAGCTATAGTGGAGGAGGTAGTTATGGGGGCGGAAACAAAGAAAGTAAACATGAAAGTTATGGTGGATCAGGAGGAGAAGAACACGATGGTTCCAGTGGTGGAGGAGGACACTCAAGCTACAGTGAGGGAAGTAGTTATGGGGGTAGATATGAAGAAGGGGAACATGGAAGTTATGGTGGATCGGGTGGAAGTGGACATGGTGGTTCCGGTAGCACAGGACATGCAAAAATTACTGGAGGAAGTAGTCATGGTGGTGGATCTGGAGGAGGAGGAGGAGGAGGAGGAGGACATGGTGGTTCTAGTAGCGGAGGTCATGGTGGTAGTTCTGGAGGTGGTGGCCATAGTGGTAGTTCTGGAGGTGGTGGCCATGGTGGTAGTTCTGGTGGCGGTGATCATGGGTTTGGCTCTGTAGGAGGAGGGCACGGTGGTTACGGTGGCGGATATGGTGGCCACGGTGGTTACGGTGGTTCTGCAGGTCATAGCGACAGTAGTGGTTATACAGATAGTCATGGAGACGGTGGTTACAGCGGTCACGGTGCTAGTGGTCTCGGCTACGGTGGTTATGGGTTTAGTTATCATAAGTAAATTTAAATATGTCTATAAACTATATTAAAAAATCTTGTTTCTCTTATATTTTTGCTACCAATAAAGTATCCTTCTCATATTTCTTTTTTGTTTATATATATAAATTGTTAATAACAATTATTTATAACAAACTGCTTGTTACATAAATAATATTTGTTGTTGTAAAATAAATGTATAATGTATTTAAAATTTAAAAAAGAAACATTTTATAAAAATTGTTTATAACAAATTGTTATTAACATTTAATAATACGTGCGAACGCACGTATTTACAACACATTTTTTCTTTACAATGGTCTTTGTTACAAGTTTCTACGTTTATTTATTCCGGAGATATTCTTTCATAAAGAGAAAATCTTTTTCATTCATTGACCTAAATAGTGATCCATTCAAAACAAGTATATAATTGACCCAGTGACCTATATAAATTCATAGAATGCTACAATTAGCTGTCTAACGTAAACAGTTATTTTCATTGATCTTACGCACAATTACTACTACTGTACACTGAAGTAAAACACTGATGCAAACACAGTAATATAAATAGAAATCTTTACAAGTGAATATCTCCGTAATGAAAAGTCGTAGAAAGATGATTAAAAACCCATTTTAAAGGGGAAAATGTCCTCTTTTCATTTATGTGGATAGTAGCCATCTTTAAAATAAAATCAATATTATAAATATTATTATTGAAACTATTACGACAACAATTGATATGGTTTTTCTTCAAAAAAAAAAAAAGCATATCTCGATGTTGTTATACGATGTTTCGATCAAATAAACAAACGAAAAAAGCGAAATACGAATGGAATCAACTTAAACTGCTATGAATGACATCTGCCAGTAAATATGTTTTCAACGATAAAACTGAATGCGCGAATGGCAGGATAATCAAAGATCGATATGATTCACTATAGATATCCTACAATGGACGATTACATTCGAACGATCGCCCATGTTTGATTGGCATACAAAAGCTTTCATAAATATACCTCAAAAATATGTTAGGTTATAAAATTTTTACCATATAAAAATGGAGTGTCTATTCGAGTGATAGGAAAAAGAAGTTTTTTCGGAAATTTTTACTGTTTCTTTTTCTTTTTCTTTCTTTTTAATTCACATCACTATTTTATAACAAAAAAAAACACTTCTATTTTTTCGAATAACGATCTTATTCGTGTCTGTTTTTATGATCTATCAACTTCCGATATGACTTTCCTGCGGTTAGATTACTAGAAGTTTAATTGAACGTAGAACTTCCGACCGTATTGGATTACCATCGGAATTTCGATGAGTGCGAACTACGATGAATTTTTTACGCAGTAACTGTAATTCTCCTGACACGATGTTGAAAAAAATGAATATCTAAAAATACGAACATTGAAAAATGTTCTATTCCGACAAAAAAATTCTTGTCCGTGGCAATCCATTTTTCTTTAAATAATTAATACCGTTAATGCTAAGGGACATTCTCCTTCAAAGTAACAAAACAAATTTTTTTTCATCTTTTTTTTTAGTACTTTCCCCTAGTCCTTTCATCAACGAGTCAAGCCTTACTTTACTTATTCGTAAAAGTTAATGATGCAAGACTAAAGCTCCGAAAGCTTCTTAAATTAATAACCATCCCCTTCTTAATTTTACTTGACTTTCTACGAAAGTTCTTATAAATAACTAATACTTCTAATTTTATTAGAAGAAACACGATAACTATAAACATTCAAAAAGTATAAAATTTAGATTAAAAAATGAAAGTCTGCTTTATTTTATATAACAAAATAAGATAATATGCATCTCAATACAAAAACTAGAATCAAGACTCACGTATTTGTTTGAAAAATGCATCGAAATAATTTTCACATACTATACGATCATTATTTTTTTATCGAAGTGAAAATTACTGTATTAGGAAATAATTAATAAGTAAAATAAATTAGTAATAAGTAAAATAAATTAGTAATAAAATGATCACATAAATTATGTTGGTTTTGGAACCTTAAAAAAAAAAAAGAAAAATAGTCACATGATGATGATATGAAGTTTAGAGTGACTGATATTACTCAAGATACCAAGTTCAATTGCTATCTAGTTTGAGATCCAACAAGTACAAGTTACGCATTACCAGTAATTTCCAACGTTCCCTTGAGATTGAAAAGAGATAGACCAATGAAGAAAATTAGTTTAACCGCAAGTCGGTTTAATTAAGATACGAACGAAATGTAAGTGTTATTACCTTACTCTTACTTTACTGTTAAACAATTCTAACAAACGGGGTTTTTCCCTTTTCCGAATGTTATCTTTGGTATTTCCTTTATCCTTCTCATAAACTTACTTAGTTTATTCATTTAAACATTGTTCACACGAAGGATAGGCAAGATTCAAGTTTATCTCATCCGATCCGATTCGAGCTTTCGTTATCCGATCTACGTGACACCATCCGAGACTTTGGTGTTATCGAAACTGGGGTGTGTTACAACCTAAACCACCCCTCCCCTGCCCTTATCACCCTTCACAACCTTCAAACGTCCCTGATCGGCCCACTTCGTTCGACCCCTCCCATTTTGCTGCTTCACGTGTTAATTCAATTAGAAATTCCTTCGTAACTAATCGCGTTATGGCTTAGAATCTAGCCGATAGAATTGACGCTTTGTTTATCGCTTAACATTATTAATCGTTTTATCTATGAGATAAAAATCTAATTTGTTTTCTTTTATTTCCTATTTTTTTTCTTTTCTTTTTGTTATTTTTGATATAGCTTAAATTTCTCCTGCTCGCATTTTCTCTTCTCGCTCGCTCGCGTATTTTTATTCTGATAGATGATGATAAAAATAAAAAATGTATGAAAAATACTACAACAAAAAGAAAAAAGGAAATAAAAAATAGGAAAAAAAAAACGCACATGGCTCGCTTTTATGCAAGAGAGATTACGCATTGTTTTGCTTAGCAATGCTTTGTCGTAAAAAAACGATGTTGCTCCGCTTTTCCGTGATTACGATGTCAAACGCGTATAATATGTCGTGAACGAGAATTTTAACAAGGTAATGTCGTGGGATTAAATTATCAGGGATGTGTGTACAAACGAGAGATATCGAATTAATCTTTTGTCATTTATATTGATTGAGTTATCATTTAATTATTAATCCCTAATGTTTATCGTTAATCACTTTTTATTGTATTATTACACAATTCTTGAAAAAGAAATCACTTAGAACTTGTATTATTTGCTCTTTAAATAAAATTATAACAAAATAGATTAGTCGATAATTAGAATTTCAAAAATTCTCTTCCCCCTTTTTACCCTTTCTTTTTTTTTAAATAATCATATTTTATATCTTTAACTTCATCTTCTATGCCAATTAAGATTGAAGTTCCATTCAATTAAAAATTGCCTACATTAATTAGGCGTGAAATATTTAAAAAATTATTTAAATATTATACATTTCGTTGTGTTGACAATACAAAATAAATATTCATTTTATTCATAATTATTAAAGATCTTATGAATATAAAATCAACGAATAAAAAATACCTGCGTCGAGATACGCGTTATGAAAAAGGTTTGGTTTTTATTTCTTTTTTTTTTTTTTGGCAATTATCAACATTGTCTTGTCTCCTATCGATAAGTTTTCACTTTCTCAAAACCTCTTTCTCTTTAAAAGTTGGCTCTTCACGTGTGTTTGCTCACCTGCAAACGTATTATACATATATATTTACACGTGTACATATATACACATTCACCTTAGAGAAGACTAGATTTGGCACACGTTCAACAGGTCTTAAAGATACCTACCTACCTTGCTCGTTCGCGCTCGTGTTCGTTTGTCACGTTCATGTTTACGTTCACGTTCACATTAGTGTGAGTCAAGTAGTATAGTACTTTTGCGTTCACGGTGAAAGCATCACGCTTGAGCAGACAACCGTGACAAGTGCAAGTGAATTGGGATCTTGAACTTTGATTTATGTATCTGCTTTAAATCGATAACTCACTCTCTTAATTTTTTTTTCTTACGAAAAGAACACTTCTAATCTCGTGTGTCGAACGTTTTAAAAATTAACGATGACTATACGTTCAGAAATCAGTTAATTTTTGTTGTTCAAGTATAATTGTGTCTTTGATCATTGCCATAAGGATTATTTAAAATATGAGTTATGGTATATTTAAAAAGAAAAAGAAAAATAATTAATTGTATGGGGAATGTTTTATAAAAAATATGTTTTTTATTAATTGTTTGCCTTTCCTTGCTAATAGGATAGAAACAGTATGAATAAATTAAAATATTATACATTTTATGTAGAAAAAAAACAATATTTAAATCTCATCAGGTAAGCGGTTAAAATAATGGGGAATATGTAAGAATGTTTTTTTTTTAAATCATTTTTAAAAGCGTAAATGTCTTCTGAATGAATTACTACAAAATATTAAATCCATTATGTATATTAATTTAATTAAGTACTAATTAATATGTACCTTATACTAGAGTAGAGCTATACTATAATTAATATAAAACTTATAATTGTATAGCAATACTGTAATTAATATTTAACTTATAATATACCAATATAATCATACCATAGTTAGTCTAAAACTCATTCTTGAATTAGTCTAAAACTTATACTTTAATTACTGTGTAACTTATACTTGTATAGCCCTTATATTATAACTTTCCTGTACCAGTTCCTAAATTTCAGATACAACCCTACTCAATTAATTGTCTATTAATAAACATCAAATTAAATTTTAAAATTACAATTTTAAACAATTTAAATAAAATAAATATTAAATAAATATCATAATTATCATAAATAACTACTAAATTTATTTTTAAAAGTTACCGAATGAATTTCTTCATTAAATATTTAATTTTAAAATCACATGATATTATTATTATTATTTATTGCATGAATTGGAATTATTTTTATTCTAATAATTAAACAATTTTTGTTTCAAAAGTAAAAAAAAAAAAGGATTTGAAACATTTCACGTTGAAATTAAGTCAATTATTG